TTTGTCTCTCCGGAAGGTATCCGTCCGTTGGCGGACAAGATTCAAGCCATCCAGGAGTGGCCCGAGCCGAAGAATGTGACGGACGTCCGATCCTTCCTCGGCTTGGCCGGTTATTATCAGCGCTTCATCAAGGGTTACTCAAAGATCGCGGCCAACCTAAGCAAGCTACAAAGTGAGGAGCGCCCTTTTGACTTCGACGACGATGCGCGCCATTCCTTTGAAACACTCAAAGCGACACTCTTATCCGCCGAGGTGTTACATATTTACGACCCGCTTCTAGCTACGCGCGTCACAACCGATGCGTCGGGTTATGGCATTGGGGCCGTCCTTGAGCAGCACGACGGCACGGACTGGCACCCGGTCGAGTACTTCAGCAAGAAAGTACCTCTCGTGCATTCGATCGACGACGCACGGAAGAAGGAGCTTCTTGCCTTCGTCCACGCCCTCAAGCGTTGGCGACATTTCCTCCTTGGTCGGAAAGCATTCCGATGGGTAACGGATAACAATCCGTTGGTATTCTACAAGTCGCAAGACACGATTAAYAGTACCATTGCCCGATGGATGGCTTTCATCGACCAGTTTGACTTTTTCCCYRATCACATTCCCGGGAAGTCAAACCGTTTTGCGGACGCCCTCTCACGGCGACCGGATCTTTGCACCGCAGTCTACTCTACCTTCGAGATTGACGACGACTTGCGGAAGAGTTTCATCCGCGTCTATCAAGCCGACCCCCACTTTCGTGACAAGTACGCAAATTGCTCCTCTCCGAATCCGGTGCCTTCGCATTATCAGATCTAAGAGGGCTACTTACTTGTGCATTCAYGAGGTAAGGATCTTCTTTGTGTGTCGAGGGATTCACACTTGCGCACACGGCTTCTTGGCGAGTTTCATGATACGCCCGCCTCCGGACATTTTGGTGTCAACCGTACACTTGGCCGACTTCGYCAGCGGTTCTATTGGCCYGACCTTCTCAAGGACGCCTCCCGCTATTGTGAGTCATGCGAAGTTTGTCGGCGTTGCAAGTCACGCAACCATCGTCCGTTCGGCGAGCTACACCCATTACCAGTACCCCTTGGGCGAMGGGAAGCGATCGCTATGGATATCACCGGCCCCTTCCCAAAGCACAAGACCGGCGTTGATGGGATTTTCACGGTCGTCGACCGCCTCACCAAGTACGCCATGTTTTTGCCTTGCCGCTATCACGCAAAGGCACCAGAGTTAGCCGAGGTCCTATCCACCGGTTGGATCCGCTCCAAGGGCTACCCCAAGGAGATCGTTTGCGACCGGGACACTTTGAAGCCGAGTTCGGCTCGCCACCCGCAAACCGACGGTCAGACGGAAAGGGCGCATCAGACCGCTCAAGTCCTCCTACGCACTCTCATCCGTCCTGACCAGGTTGATTGGGTCGAGCGCTTGCCAGACGTGGAGTTGGCTTACAACTCATCGATCCATCCGGCTATTGGGATGTCGCCATTCGAGTTTGAGCATGGTTCACCCATCTCATCGCCGCTGGACGCCATTTTGTCGTGCACAGCCGAGAGCGACGACCATCTTGCGTTCCTTCGTCGCATGCAAGAGCTCCTTGTCAAGGCACGGGATCAGATGTCAAAGACGCAAATACGGATGAGCCGCCAAGCCAACCGCAATCGTCTTCCTTGCCCGTTCCGCGCCGGCGATCTGGTTTGGGTCTCCGCCGCGGAGTTCAGCCTTGAACAAGACATCTCTCGCAAGCTCCTTCCCAAATGGATGGGGCCTTGGCGCATTCTCTCTGCAGTTGGTGATGTTCCCGAGGGGCCTTCATTCCGCATCGCGGTGCCACCTCACTTGCCCATCCACACGGTGTTCCACTGTTCCAAACTCGCTCCTTTTGTTTCGGCAGAATCCGACGAGTTTCCCGGTCGACGTACGCAAGACCCTC